AGACGCCAGCGAGGCAGCACGGGGTCGAGGGGGTCGAGGGCGTGAGGAACGAGGAAGAGGAGCGGCAGCAGCCCTCTGCCCCCCTCCACTCCTCCCGCCTCCTCCCCCCTCCTCCCCCCTCACGTTCCTCTGACCGGCGCCCCGCGACGTAGGATCCGAATCAAAAAGTCTGAAGCCGCCCGCAGGCGCCACTTGCGAACAGCTCCGTGGGCCGCGAGCGGCCTCAATCAGAATATAGATCGGGGGCAGGCCTCATCCCACCGTGTCGACTTACAGGGGACGTAGCCTGGCCCAAACTTCTGCTAAAGGCAACGGCCCCGAACGATTTGTCACAGCCGTCGCAACGACATATACTGATTCCGCCGCCGCCACTCCCCGCGTGAGGGCCGCCTGCAACTCAGCGGGAGCCTGTCGTGCCTTCGATGGGCGAGCTCCCATCGCCCTGTCTCCGTCGGCCTCCGACAAGCAGGCTCGAATTTCGGCCGAGCCCGAACTGCTCAACTGCCACACTTCGAGCAACGAGTGATCCTTCGGGTAACTGCCCTCTGCCCCCCTCTAATTACTCCCCCTCCTTCCGCCTCCTCTCCTCAGCCGCACACTGAGGGGGGAGTGGGGAGGGGTGAGGGCTTCTCCGAAGCACCCCTGCTTCGTAGACGGCGCGGGCCTCATTTATGGATGTAAGGCCGGCGCCGCCTAAGAAGCAGCCTCCTAAGAAGCCGCCCCCCCTCCCTCCACCCCTTGTTCGGACAGGCGCAGAACTACACCTTGGGCGAGTGGATTAGCTTCTTGTGCGGATTCCCACATTCCAGATTCTAGACGCTTCGCGTATCCCCACCAGCCCGTCCAGAAACGACGCCCAGGCGAGTAGAGGGTCGTCCTGAGGGGCTTTTCGGCGTCTTGGGTGCCTCGGGGGGGCCTCTGTGGGCCGTTCGGGATCCTGTTTGGGGCCTCCTGGGGGCCCTTGGGGCCTCTTGGGGCCATCTTGGGGCCTTTGGGGGCCTCCTGGGCGGAAAAGGAAGAGGAAGAGAAAGGGGGCGGGAAGGTGGAGAAGGAACAGAAGAAGAGAATTATGGGAAATATTGTAAAGATATGGAAAAAGGAGAAAGAAGGGGAGGGGGATGACGGAGGAGGAATAATAGGTAGGCGAGGGGGAAGGGGATCCTGGAGAGCTCATATGGCCACTTGGAATCGTCCTGGGACGGTCTCGGAGCGTCTGGGAACATCTTCGGAGCCATCTTGAGGCAGGTTGCGCTATCTTGAGCCAGCCTGTTGGAATCGTTTTGGAGCAGTCTTGGAACGTCTTGAAACATCGTCGGAGCCATCTTGAGGCAGGTCGCGCAATCGTCAGCCATCTTGGAAGGTGTCTTGGGCTTCCCGAGGCTCTTAGGGAGCCGTCTTGGCCCATCTTTGACGACCTTGTGAGCCTATTGGAGGCCTCTTGGGCGTCGTTTGGGGCGCTCTTGAAACGCTCTTGGAGGCCTCATAGGCGCTGGTAGAGCCATGTTGGAGGAAATCTGGCAAAGAAAGCGGAAGCATTTTTTAGCGTCGCCCTTGTAGAGCCTTTAAAATCGTCTCCTGAACCCCTCTTGGGGTGCTCTTGGAGCGTTCGTTGCCGCTCTTGGCGCCGTCTTGGGGCTTTCTTGGGCCCCTTTTGGAGCTATCTTGAGCCATCTTAGAGCCATCTTGACGCCTCGGATGCGCATCGCAAGCGAAAAAGTGAGAACACCAAACACATTGATTTTCCCTTTGGGTTTTGAAGCATTTTGGCCTCTTGGAGGCATCCTAGTGATGCTCTTGTGAGCACTTGGAACCGTTTTGGGAAGCTCTTGGAGCGTCTTGGAACATCATGGGGACCATCTTGAGGCATCTTGCGCTATCTGGAGCCATCTTGGAGGTCATTTTGAGCTCCCTGAGGCTCTCTTGGAGCCGTGTTGGGCCATCTTGGACGCTCTAACTACCCGCGGCCCCCCCTGTCCAGGTCAGTGGGGAGGGGGGAGGGGGAGGGGTAAACCCCTCCCCGAAGGGGAAGAAGGAGGGGTGGAAGAGGAAACGCTATAAAAAAAACACCGACGCCCAGAGGGCTGGTGGGATTTACTTTTGCGACATCGTCTTACGTATTGGCTCGCCCGCCTTACGAGCGGACGATCGCGCCTGTCGGATTTCCCGGGGCTTCGACTTCGATTGCCAGTGTCAGTGTGGAATCAAGACTTGCGCCCCACGAGCGGATTGGAGGATGAGCGCAAGGTGAGTCTTTCAGCTGCGGGGGGGCGCGGGCGCTTGCCGCCGCGCAGGGGCCAGGGGCAATTGGGAAACGCCCAGGGAAATGGAGGGCGGCAGGTAGAGGAAGAACGGGGGAGGTGGAGGGCAAAACAGCAGGCGGGAATGGGGAACATAGTGACCAGGCGAGATGCTCTGATAGGGGGGGCGATGTGGGCGGAGGCCGCGGGTGGAATTCCCTCGGGAAGCCCCGCGACGTTCAGACACCTCCGCCCGGAGGCCGGCAGGGGGTTCAGCGGCCCTTGCCTTCCTGACTCTGCGGGCGGGGCGCGACGACGCACCCGACCTGTACCCCGTCCCTTTCGCTAGGTGCCGGTCTGTACGTGTTCGCCCCGCGCGAGACATCCAGCACGTTCAGAATTGCACTTAGCCAGGCACTAGGTGTAGTTCTGTACGTGCTGGTTTCGCCGGACACATCCTCACAAAACGGAGCACTTATAGAATTACACCTAGCCAGCGTGGCGGGGTGCATGTCGGGTGCCGCCATTCGCGCTCCCAACGTGTACCGCGCCCCGGCCGCTAAGTGCCGTTTTGTACGTGCCCCCGTTTCGCGAAGCATCGGCTGCCCGCGCTGCCCATCGCCGAGGCCCTGTCCCTTGGGCCACTTCCCACCGACGTCCCACATGGCTCAGCGAACCCAGCCGTATGCCTGGGCCCGCCTGTGCCCCAGCAGCACATTCGCGATCCGACCCCCCGCGATTTCGAGTTCTTCTTCGTGCCGTATTCCCCGTCCGAGGGTGAAACGCTTGTTCGTGTTATGATTTTTCTTGTGGCTGCCGCCACGCCTCGCCGTGGCGATCGCTTCCACGCTTGGCGCGCAGCGTCGTCGGCACGACCATCGCCTTCCATCGTGGGTCGTGAGGCGGCGTCCGTCCACCCAGACTGACCGACGCGCCAAATCGAATTTTGATTGCCACCCCTGGTCCCCGCAACAAGGTGCAGTTTTGTTGCGTGTAGTTGTAGATGTGTTCGACTTGTGCGCGCTGCCACCTCCTCCCCCGATGCCACTCCCCCCCACCCACCCGTCAGGCTGCAGCGGGCGACGGCGACGTCTCGCCGCAGCCCGCGAGAGCGCCGCGGGCCGGTGGGCCGCCAGCCGCGTCGGCGGCGCGCGGGCCTGGCGGCCGGCAGGCGGGGCTGGGAAAAGGAAGGGGGGACGAGGAGGGAGGGGGCGGGGCGCGAAGGGAGGAGGAGGGAGGAGGAGGAGGAGGAGGAGGGAATCTCATGAACTCTCAAGTGTTTGAGCTAGGCGTGGTGTTCACCGCCAGACTGCCCACGGCACCCGAGACATGTCCGCGCGCGCACGAGGCCTTGCTGCCTTTTCGTTCGCGCGTCATCCCTAACACGGCCACCCGCTCGTCGGCGTATCTCTCATTTGCGTCTCCTTTATCCCATATTTCAACAGCATTGTGGGAAAGTGGGCAAGTGCCGAAAACAATGAACAGACTTGAACTTGCAGCTCGGGAACAGCAATCCTTCCATCGATCGCAAAGGATGTCGGCTTGGCTCTGGGCGAAGCATCACTCACGCTCAAACAAATTGGCAAGGAACTTCAGCGACCAAAGAGTTCGCACAACCAGATGAACACTCATGCGCCTTAGTTCGTGCCGACCCTCAACCTGGGCATCCTGCCGCCTTTCATGTCCTCCGTCGCTAGCAGTGCTGTCTACATGGAGGATGGCGAGCAGGAGGCCGCCGAACACATGGGGGAGGACGTGGTGGAGGACGCCGGGCACGGTGGCGGGGAGGGGGACACTGTCCACGAGGGCGAGGAGGGCGTGGAGGAGGACGTTGAGCACGAGGTGGAGGGCATGGTGGAGGAGGACACCGACCACGAGAAGTACTCGACCGTCAAAGCCGTCCGAATCAAGAAAACCGTCCGATTCATCGTCTCTCCCTCCGCAGAGACGCCAACGACACCGTCGGCCCCCCGCACGTCGAGAACGCGGTGGGACTGCCCCCCCCAGACGGGCCGACTTCCCCTCCAGAATCTGCTAGACCGGGCCCAGCGGTCGGCGAACCCACACCTGTGAGAAGTTTTTTCCGAAGCGCCCGGCGCCGAGCGGCCGCCAACTGATTACACGATTTTTTGACATCCTTCTCATCATTCAATTCTTCCTTCTCTATTTTTTGCGTCCCTCATGGCCTTCCTCTCCCACAGCCCCGCTTCTGCCCTGATTCGGTGGTCGGCGCTGCTCTGCGCGGGGATGTAAAGTCAAGCGGGGACTTCAGGCGAGGACGGGGGCGTTAGGTGGGGGCGGACGAGGTAGCTCGACTGTGGACACGGGGCCAGCTCGGATCTCCACAGTTGGCCCCCACCTCCTTTTGAGCTCCGGGCCGTGAAGCCTTCATCCTCCAAGCTGCTACGGCCGACGAAGCTTCAGGCAATCTTCACCCCGGCCCTGGCGTCAGCGCGTCCAGCTTTTTTCCAGGACCCAGCTTTTACAGTCCCGAACCCACCTGGGCTAAGTGTCGCCATGACGTCGGGTTTAAACTTGGTTCGGGCTCCCCTTGCTCCTGCTCTGCTACTCAGTATCCTTATCCTCTGCATTTTTATGTGGCTCCTCGGGTGCCCTCGTCTGGCCAACCGCCGCGGCAACGGCGGAGTTACAGATGGGATGGCGGGGGGATCGTAGAAGAGTAGGGGCTGTCGGGGTAGCCCGCTTGGGGCCAAAGCAGCCTGGGCAGCCACGGCGACGGGCCCGTCCCCCTGACGCCCTAGGAAGCGAAAAGAACAAAAGTGCGGGCCCACTGTGTGGGCGGGGGGGGGTCCTCCTCGCCTGTTTGTCTACGCGCCTCCGTGGCAACTTGTCGCCCTCTACAGCAGCTTAGGCAGCTTTCTTTCGCCGACAGGGCGGATGGCGTGCCTGCCTCACCACGCCCAGGCCCATAGCACCGATGCCAACGGAGGCTACGGAACATGGCGCGTCGCCATCTGCGCTCTTCTTGTCACGTTTTGTCTGAAGCCATTGCCCAGTCACGACCCACCGTGGATCGTCCGTCCCCCCTCTTCCTCTCTCAACCATTGTGTTCCTCTCCCTTTCTCTCCCTTGCCGCGCGCCCGTGGCACCGGCGCACCCCCCATGTTGGGGGCCAGGTAGATCGTGGGAGGTTGCGTGGAGTTGGCGATGGCGGTGGGGGGGCAGGAGGAAACACTCAGGCCAAAGCGCAAAGACCACAGCTGCTGGCCTCTCGCCGCCGGCGCACAGCGTACACACTATTTGAATAGCCGCCGCCTGCTGCCCAAGCAGGGCCACGCCTCCGTGTCAACCTTGGCACCCGTTCTAGCAGCTTGGGCAGCCCGCTTCCGCCGACAGGGTGAAGGTCATGCCTGCTTCAACACGACCAGGCCCAGAGCACCGAGGCCAACGGAGGCTACGGAACAGAGTCCGGCGCCATCTGCTTTTGTTTTAGAGGCGGTGGAGGAGGAGGAGGAGGTTGAGCTGGATGAGGAGGACACGGTGGCGGCGCAGGGGCGCACGCAGCAGCCACTCCGGAAGCTCCGTTCCGTTCGAGCGCAGTGCGCCGCGCATGTCCCCGCATCCACTCTTCTCTTGTCTGGCTGGCCCTTCGTGAGGCTCGTCGGGGTGGGTGGGGCACGCGCGCGCCACAACACTGTGATTCCAGAAGACTCGCTGCTCTTCTCACCCGCTCTCTGCCGCCGCCCATTTGGCTATAATCATTTTCCAGGGCCATGGCCTTAGAGCTACGCAGCTTGATTGACCACCGCTCTCATACGACAAAGATTGCCGCGCCGCGCGCGCCATCTATATCACAGTGGCAGCTTGGAGCGAGGCTCGCTATCCCAGCCCGCGGGGCCGTACATATTGACGACGTCCGCGACGTGATCATCCATATTGGAATCGAAGACCAGCGTCTTCCTGGCCTCCAACAGCAATACCGCCCCCGTGTGATACGACACTCTATTCCGAGACCGGAGAGGGCCCGAACCTGAGGAAGGGCGCTTTCGCCTTAGATTTTTTTGTTATTTAACACCACAGGGGAGGTCCTTGAAAACAGTCTTGCCGCTACTTGCGGATGCCGGCACGGCCGCTTCGCTTGAGAATTCTTCGCAATGTATCATCACAGCGGGGTCTTTCCGAGCATTGTTTCTGCTACTCGCGGATGCCCGAACGGCCGTTTCGCTTGAAACTTCTTCGCAATCCAGCAGCACGGGAATCTGTCAGAGCAGTTGCGCCCTCTTTTGAGGAGGCAGGAGGCCCCAAAAGGGCCCAGGATTTTTTTTCTATGTTGAACTATATGTTCGCGGGACGCTTTTCGGCCCTCCCACCCCCATGAGGCCCCTGGAAGCCCCAGGAGACATTTTTCTATATTGGGATATGTGTTCGGGGAGTGGTTTTCCTCCAGGAGGCCCCACAAGGCCCCAGGAGGCATTGTTCTGTATTGGGATTTGTGTTCGGGGAGTGCTTCTCGGCCCCTCCGCAGGCTTCGCCCGCATGATTAGGGTTGGCCGTTCTCCTGGGGTTGGAATCCTGTGTGTTTTACTTTTGTTCCTGTAGATTGCCCCTCTCATGGGGCTCGAATTGTTTATGTTTTACGTGTGCTCCTGTGGATGGCCCCTCGATTGGGGCTCGAGTCTTTCGCGGTTTACGTATGTTCCGACATATTGGCCTTCTTTTGGGTTCGAATCTTCTGCGTTTCGAACCCCAGCGTTCCCGAGTGTCGTATTTGTTTTTTATGTGTCGTGCGAGCTGCAAGCGGGACGGTGCCTCGGGCGAGGTGTTGGTTCGACTTCCTTGTGCGGGAAGTCTGGGTGTGGGAAAGTCGGTCAATTTTCCCTATAGCCCCCCCCCCAGGAGGGGGTGGCATCATGATGAATGCATGTGGCACGCAGAAGCAGAGCCCATGAGCGCAACATCATTGTTGCATTCAGATATGTGAAGAAGACTATTGTTGATCTCCCCTTCGGTGACCATTGTATGTTTTTCAATTGAGGTGCCCCTTCCAGGGTTCGCGCTCTGTTTTTTCTCACGGAAAGGTTCGGGTCACCAAACGATGTTGTTGGCCTCTGGTTGACAACGACAGCGATTCCTGCTTGTGTATATCAAAATCGCGTTTTCGCGTGGGACATCCTTGCAATGTATGCAAACGCTGCGCCCCCGACGCTCAGGAATCGCGTTCTCGCTAGGGCTTTGTCGCGAGTTACTGTGGAATCGCGCTACCGTTCGCAACACCTTCGCGTGTCATGCAGTACTCACGCTT